TTCACAGCTATGAATTTCCCTCTGAGAACTACTTTCTTCGCATCCCTTTAATTACGATATGTTGTGCTTGAATTTTCATTGAATTGTAGATATTGTTGAATTTCTTGTTTAATTTCATCTGTGACTCATTGGTTGCTGAGTAGGGTGCTATTTAATTTCCATGTATTTAAAGTTTTTTTCTGGTTTCTTTTGTCATTTATTTCCAATTTCATTGCACTGTGGTGAGATACTTTGCATGCAATATTTTCTGTTTTCTTGCATATACTTAAGCATGACCAATGGATCTGTATGCTGTGTATTTTAGAAAATGAACCATGTGCAGCTGAGAAAAATGTGTATTCATTTGTGTTTGGGTGGAACACTGTATATGTCCACCAAGTCCATTTGTTTCAAACTCTGGTTCAGTTCTGTTATTTTTTTGCTAATTTTTTGTCTGGTTTACATATCTTTTGGAGATAAGGAAATGTTAAGTTCTCCTGTTAAAATTGTGGTATTGGATATTAGGTTTTTCATGTCCATTAAAATTTGTTTTATATAGTTGTGTGCTCCTGTATTTGGTGCATACATATTTATGAGTGTTACCTCTTCCTTTTGAATTTTTCCCCAACCAGTATATAGTGGCGTTCGTTATTTCACTTGATCATTGTTGGTTTGAAGGTGAGACTGTCCGAGAATTGGATTGCCACCCCTGCTTTTTTCTGAGGTGCTGTGGCATGTAGTATTGTGTTCCATTCTTTGACTTTCAGCCTATGTATGTCTTTATGAGTTAAATGTGTTTCTTGTATACAGCATATTGTTGGATTTTGTTTCCTAATCCACTGTACCAGTCTATTTCTGTTAATTGGTGAATTGAGTCTATTTACATTGATGGTTAGAATTGAGATGTATTGACTTACGGTTGCCATGTTATTTACCTGTTATCATTTACTCGTTTTTCTCCTGTGTTTAATTGCTTATCTTATTTAGTTGGTTGTTTCCGATCTCATTCATGGAGTTCTGATCATTTTGGTCCCTCTCTAGAACATCTTTCCGCAGCCTGTGTAAGGTTGGCTTTGTCGTTATGAAGTTCTTTAGCTGTTCTTTGTCATGGAAGTATTGTACTTCTCCATCAAACTTTAAAGAGAGTTTTGCAGGTTATAGTAGGTAGTCTTGGCTGGAATTTGTTTTCATAGAGGACCTGGAGTGCTCTGCTCCATGCTCTTCTTGCCTGCATGGTTTGTGAAGAGAAGTCGGCTCTAATTCTGATGGGTTTTCCTCTGAATGTGATCTGCTTCATTTCTCTAGCGGCTTTCAATAGATTATTCTTCTGCTGAATTTCTGGGATCTTGACTATTATATGTCTCGATGTGTTTTTCATTGGGTTGAGGTTCCTTGGCGTTCTGTATGCTTCAGTTACCTGAATGTCAGATTGTTTCCTCATATTTGGGAAGTTTTCTGCTATTACTTCTGCCCATATTTTTTTAATGTCATTTGTGTTGACTCCTTCTTTCTCATTGATGCCTATTATTCTCACATTGTTCATCTTTGCATCATCTTGCAGGTGATGGATTATTCTTTCCTGCATCCTCGTTGTTTTTACGAGGTCCTTTCTCACCTTTTCACTAGCTACACCAGCATCTTCAAGATCTGAAACTCTGTCTTCACATTCATTTATACGGTTTTACAAGCTTGTGATTGAGAATTTCATTTCCTCTATATCTCTTTGACTCTGCTTCATGCGATCTATTTCTTTCCTGAATTGCTCATTCAGGGAATCCGTCATTTTTCTAATCTACTGTATTTTTCTTATCAATATCTTCTTTAGAAGCAGTTAGAAATTCTTCTACTGCAGTGTTTTTTTTTCAGATTGGGTTTTCTGCCTATGTTTCTGTAGTTGCTTCTTTACTTCATCTGTTATGAGTCCTGAAAGTTCTTTTTTTATTTCAGAAAAGAATTGCGCTCTGATTTCCTCTATATCTTTCTGCTGTTGCTTATTTACTATCGACACTCTTAATTCATGCATTTGAGCCAAGCTAGTGTCCTCCGCACTTGTTCTGGGTGGGCACTGGCTTTCTTCGATATGTTTCTGCATTTGATTCTTTAGTTCAGATGTTATTAATTCAAGGATTTCTGTTTTCATTTCCAATCTGAGGTCTTCTATATCTTTCTCCAGCTGTTTCTTTATTTCATAAGCTGCTGATTCATTGCTTTCAGCTGTGTGATTTCCAATTTTTTCTGTGTTAGTGTCCCCTGTACTTGTTACAGGTGGGCTTGGTTTCTGAGGTTGCATTTTGTTCCTTCTCGTCATTTTGTGTAGCACTGTCTTCTGACCTTTGTTGTAGATCTTTGCTGTAGTTATAACCTTCGCACTTACTGAAGTTCAGGTGCAGCTCTACAAAGTTTGGACTTATCCAGCTGCGTCTGGTTTTGGGTCTGGCTGCTGTGTTCAATCCTTCCCGCTTCTGCCCTTGAGGGTGAACTGTTTTGCCCCTGTGGCAAGATATTCTGCTCCTGGACTAACTGGTTGGATCTATCCTCTACACTCTCCCCTGGAGGGATTACAGGTGCTGGATTACCCCTCAGGCATGTATGCCAGGCCTGAGCTGTACCTGGACGGGGCAAGGTGAAGCAGGAGGAAGAGGAAGCTCTCCGCACACACTCATGGGACCTGGGCTAGGACTGGGTCTGGCGGCTCCGGGATGGGGCAAAAATTCCTACTCTGCGGGGGGGGGGCGTTGGGGAGGCACTGTGGAGTGGTGGGGGGTGGCCCAAGGGGCTGGGAGAGGGTCCGGCCCACTCTGTGCCTGGGCTGGGACTGGTCCCCCCGGCCCAGGGTAGGAGGAAGCTCTCTGCACACTCACGGGACCTGGGCTAGTACTGTGTCTGGGGGCTCCAGGAACTCGGCAGAAAATCCTACTCTGCGGGCGGGGTGGGGAAGGCAGTGTGGAGTGGTGGGGTCGGCCCAAGGGGGTGGGAGAGGGTCTGGCCCACGCTGCGCCTGGGCTGGGACTGGTCCCGCCGGCACAGGGTAGCAGGAAGCTCTCTGCACACTCACTGGAGCTGGGCTAGGACTGGGTCTGGGGGCTCCCTATTTTCTTAATTTTTATAAATTTTTGTCTTCATATTCCACTGGGACTTAAAGTTTAACATATCAATACTTGATGGAAAATACTTGTTCCATGTTATGCCTAAGATGTTTGATATTGAAACAGATAGTTAGGTTAAACCCAGCTGCATATGTCGCAGGTTAAAATTAAGCTTCTCTTCTGGAGGGTTAACAGCCTAAATTTCCACACCAAAATTTAGAGACAAAGAAGGGCTTCAAGGACAAGCAACATTTTTGTCCTAGCCTTTCAGGATCAGTGATGACTCAGTACATAGGAGAACCTATACTATAACAATATGTAACTCAGGTGTGTCTCAAATTTTCTGATCAAGTAGATTATGGAGCCACAGAGTAATGTCATTGATGAGGTAGAGTGTGCCTAAGGCGAGTCACATGTAGAGAAAACATTCTCTCAAGCTTTCACAGAAAGCAAATTGGTCAAGCAATGGGCGTGACTCATTCACATGGCTGACACTCACAAAGGATCTACAAACTGAGGTAGAGGGGTTCAGGTTAAATCCTGAGGTGATTTGATTGGCCTTATCATATACTAAAGTTACATTTCTTTATATGTAGATCTTCTTTGCCTTGGTCTGAACCATGCAGCAGATAAGTTTGAAAACGAAGTATAAAAAGTAAAGCCATATTAATATGCTGAGCTATAAAAAGCTCAAGTCAATAACTTTGGACATTGTCAGTGTAATGAAAAACCCACTACTATTATGGACTACTGGATTATACTGGGAGATTCTTTGGAATTCAAGCCTTACAATATTTAAATGAAAATGAAATGCCCTTCTCTGACAAATAAGTGGGATAGATGAAGGACCCTTTCATATCTGTGTACTCAATATAGTTAAGATATACAGCTCCACTCCCTTAATTCAATGAATTGTTTATTTGTCAATAAAATTATTAAAAATGTAATTTTTGCATTTACTCACTTTTCTGATGAATCACAAAAAAGCACAGTTACTTAACATGTTTTTATAAACTTTCATATACTAATGAAATGTAGCATTTAATCAAATAATTAAATTTATGTATGTAAGAAATGAAGATTATCACTCTAGACATGTCAGAATAAGAGAAAATGTTGAGAAGTCAGCAATTCATATCTGATTTTCCCCAGATTCCCCACTCTGTTTGTACTGAGAGTTGCAATCCTGGATTCAGGAAGTCCCCTCAGGAGGGAAAGCCTTCTTGCTGTTTTGATTGCAGCATTTGTTCAGAGGGTGAGATTGCCAATGAAACAGGTAAGATTGTGCTTTGTGAAAAATTAACTCCCCTCTCTTTTTTATCTTTACCCATTCATGAAAGAAATTTGCAGATAGAGCCAAGGTAATTATTTTTGTTTCCTTCAGTACCATTATTCCTTTGGAAAAATCATATTCTGACCCTTGAACTATGCACTTTGATGGATTTTCTTTTTTCTTTGTAGTATTGTGTTTTTTGTTGTCTCATATTTGTAGTACATTTTTTCAGTACATACATTCATCCTGAGGAGCGGGTATGTGTGTGCACTACAACGTGTTTTATTAATTTCCTTCAGTCCCTCTTTCTTCCTAATCCTCTAATTCCTTTCCTGTCATTTTCATTCTGTTTGATATTATTAACATTACTTATGTTTATGATGTATAGTGCTTATGTTCATTGAGGTACTCGGATTTGTATGTGGCATATCTGCTGTCTAGTTTGCCGTTCTCCTCCCTCTGTTAGTGTTCTTCCAGTACCCTGACCTTCTTACATTTATACTAGCTCTATCCCTTTATCTCCTACTTTATTTTCCTCTTTGTACTTTGCCTTACTCAAATGAGAGTACTACTATGTTATTTAAGCTTATATATCTCACTTGTTTCACTCAATGATGTATTTTCCATGTGAATCAGTTTTGCAACAAATACTTTTAATGCGTTTTTCTTTATAGCCAAATTATATTCACTTGTATATATGTACTACAGATTTTCACTTTTTCACCCAGTCATCTCTATTGATGAGTATGCAGGCATTTGTGCGTGTGTGTGTGTGTGTGTGTGTGTGTGTACCATGGATCACACTTGCTGCCCTGTGTTTTCCAGGAAGGCATTCAATCCACTAAGCTATCTCCTGAGCTATGCCCTCAGACCATTTTTCAAGATTAAACTGTTGTGAATTATGGTGCTATAAACATTGGTATTGTACATATTACAGTATATGTATATTATGTAGTATGAAGTGTTATTTAACTCTTTTTGGCAGTTACTTAGGGGAGGAATAACTCTCATATAGAAGTTCTCATTTTATTTATTTTGGAAATCTCCAAACTTTTTATAAAGTTTTATTTACATCCCTACCAACAGTGTTTCAGGGCCTCAACACTTAAAAAAATCCTTAATGATGGCTCTGCCTTCTACTATAAGGTGTAAACTTAGAGTTGTTTTAATTTGTATTCCTCCATTGACCAGAAATGATGAACATTTTTTCATCTATTTGTTTCCCATTTATATATGTTTCCCAGAGAAGTATTTATAATTTTACTTACATGTTTCTTGATTGCATCTTTTGTTTTAGGTGGTAAAATTATTTTGATTATTTTGTATATTCTAGGTAGTAATTATCTGAGAAAGAGCTGACAAATATTTTCTCATTTGGTTATTGTTGTTTGTTTCTTTGTTTTTTTTCTTTCTTTTCTTCCTTCTCTTTATCCCTAGTGTTCTTTCCTTCGGCCAGTTTCCTTCCCTTTCATGATATCTATTGTATGCTTTGGATCTTAGTTACTCCTTCACTTTCTTTCTTTTTTTATAAAGGCTTAAAATGTACTTTAATAAGCTAATGCCATATTACTGCTCCATTTCTCTGAAAAAAACTTCAAATTTAAGGTATCAGGGATAAATCAAACATGGTGCACTAATAAAAAATGCACAACATGACTACATGATATAGGAGAGGCAAGGCTAACAGCTACTTTGAGACCTTCAGCATACAGCAACCCTATGGGAAACAGTACAGTATTTACACATGTGAGTTTGATTTGCAAGCTTGGTTAAAGAAAAAACAAAAAGAAACAATAACAAAAAGCTATAAAAATTCTAAAGAAAAAATAGGAATAAAAAATTAAGCATTAACATCTTCTTCCAAAAGATCATCAGAAATCAGCAGTATTCAAACTATCATGTGTATATATTAGGTATATATTTTTTTCACTTCTTTCTTTTGCCATTTTCCTTGTCCTTGTTTTTCCTGCCCATTGAACACTTTCTTTTCCTTTCATAGTTTCTACTGTACCTTTTCAGTTACTTGGGGAATATTCCCAAATATGTTTAAAAAATCATGATAGAATAATCTCTTCCTTGAACATATTCTACAAATTTTATGGAAGATGTCTGAATTTTATAACACACTTAGAATGACTATAAATTTTATTTGGAATATGGAAATTGACTATAAACTGTGCTAGTTTATGAATTTGAATATATATTTTTATGAATTTTGATGGTAAGGAATTGTCATATAAATGTTTCATGTGCAAATAAAAAGAAGCGTGTAACCAGAATATCACTTACTGCATTTTAGTTTAGGAAATTATCAATTAGTTTAACTAATAGATGAGTTTAACAAGAAAGAACAAAGTGTCAGTAATTATGAATATTATTCATCAAAAAAGAATATTATTCATCAAATCTTGTGGTGCACAGTGAGTTAAAACTGTCTTTAGTGATGGGTATCATATGTACTTCTATAGAAGTGTGTGTGTGTGTGTGTGTGTGTGTGTGTGTGAGTTGGATGAATTATTAAGGAAATGTACATATGGCGACGATAAAGTACAGATAATTCTGGAAAAAATGCTGAAAACTTTAAGTACATTTGGTGAAGGAGAAAGAGAAAACTGCAGTACAATAACATGCTCTGATAGAAAAATATGCCAAAAAATTAGAATATTAATTTTTTGGATTAATACAAAATATTTCCTATGCATTTAAAGTATAAATAATTTCAATTTTGTGAGTAAAAATTTAAATGACATTCACAAAATTAACAGAGAAACAGTCTTATGGGAAAAAGTCCTCAAAATACCATGCATATTAACACATTTCAACTGAATATTTTTCCAGAAATTTTATGGTGATTGTCTCACTAGTCAGCTTGAAATGCATTCAAGAGCATACTAGTATAGATTTGCTGAACATTTTTCAGAGAAAGAAACATTTGGAAAACTCACTTCTTTTAATTAAAGGAACTAAATTTTAATACACTGAGCTGGCAAGAACATTAGAAAATGTGAAGATTAGAGGCCACTTTTGTTCTTTATTTAAATTTACATATTGTATTCTAACTTCTGGTATGGATTTTAAGGAGGACACACCATAACAAAATTTGTCTTATGAAACAATTCATTGTACTAGCTTCCAGCAAAATAGATATTGCACCATTAAGAAAAATAAAATCAGTTGAAATGCTTTCCTAAATTAGAAGTGAAGAATTACAAAAGTAATTACTGCTAAAGTAGAAACAGGAGGAAATTGCTTAGTTCCATAAAAGAAAAGTCTAAAAGCGAATGTTATATTTTGAGGATCAATGTGGAAAACAAAAGGAAAAGGCTTTTCCATGTAAGACTTCTACTATATATTGTGCAGGTAAAAATAAGTTTAGGAAAAGAAAAGCCAAATTTCTTGGAAAGTATTGAATACAGTTAGTGTTGATTTCATTCAGAGTTGTGTCTAAGTATAAAATTCAGATAAATTAATAAGTTAATAATTTAAGTCAGTAATCACTACATAGAAGATTAATGTAAAATACCTATGTATACCTTTTACTCATGTAACACCCCATTGAAAATTTCAAATTATATATTTACAATATATACTATACTATGAAATATCTAAAAAGTTTATGAAGTTTGAAAAATCTGTAAGTTACAGAACAGCCTTTAAAGCAATAAAAGTCAAAATAATGATTATAATAAGAATATTCATGGACAGAAATAATAAAAATGGAAAGATGATAGTGCTTTCCAATTTGATGTACAACTCAATTTAATTATATTCATTCATTCATGCAGTCATTCATTCATTTTTGTACCAGGAATCAAATTGAGGACTTTGCACTTGCCAGATTGGCACTGTGCCACTAAGCTACATCCCAGGCCCTGAAATGTAAATTTGAAAATATGTTGTGGGAAAAATTATATCTATTGCTTAAGTATTTGTTTTCTTACCCAAATCCATAGAACTTAATTAGGTTTTACAATAAATGACCAGCCATTGAATAAATACCCTGAACATCATTTACAAACATGCAATTTAATTATTATGATCTTCTTGAAGTTATTTATAAATAGAGAAAACGTGGCCTTAATAATATGGTAAATTAATAATCAATAGTATTGGTGTTCACAATATCATAAAAGTTAGGTGTAGTTAATTTAGAATTATTCCTTATAACATTCCTTTACTTATGTCTTAATAAACGAACAACTAAATATGACTAACCCAGTTCATTGACATTTTCATGAGGGCATTGTGGATAAAAGATGAAATGCAACATAGACTGATGTTGCATTTTCTCATTAGATATGGATCAGTGTGTGAAGTGTCCAGACCACCAGTATGCCAACATTCAGAGAAATCGCTGCATCCAAAAATCAGTGACTTTTCTGGCTTATGAAGACACCCTCGGAAAGATGCTGACTGGCACAGCCTTGTGCTTTACTGTTCTCACGGTTGTTGTTCTTGGACTCTTTGTGAAGCACCGAGACACTCCCATCGTCAAGGCCAACAACCGGGCTCTCAGTTACATCCTCCTCACCTCCCTTACCTGCTGTTTCCTCTGTTCCTTGCTCTTCATTGGTCATCCCAACACAGCCACCTGTATACTTCAGCAGACCACATTTGGAGTTGTGTTCACTGTGGTTGTTTCCACTGTCTTGGCTAAAACCATTACTGTGGTGCTGGCCTTTAAGGTCACTGCTCCAGGCAGAAAGATGAGGCAGTTTCTGGTATCAGGAGCACCAAACTACATCATCCCCATCTGCTCTCTGATCCAACTCACTCTTTGCGGAATCTGGATGGGGACAAATCCACCCTACATTGACACAGATGCACACTCTGAACAAGGCCAAATCATCATCGTGTGCAACAAGGGCTCCCTCACTGCCTTCTACTGTGTCCTGGGATACCTGGGCTCCCTGGCCCTGGTGAGCTTCACTGTGGCTTTCCTGGCCAGGAAACTGCCTGACACCTTCAATGAAGCCAAGTTCCTGACCTTCAGCATGCTGGTGTTCTGTAGTGTGTGGGTCACCTTCCTGCCCGTGTACCACAGCACCAAAGGGAAGGTTATGGTGGCCATGGAGGTTTTTTCTATCTTGGCTTCCAGTGCAGGGTTGCTGGGCTGCATCTTTGCTCCTAAGTGTTACATTATTTTGTTAAGACCAGATAGCAATTATCTGCATGGATCAAGAGATAAAATGTATTCTAAGAAAAATAAGCATTATTAACCAAAAAAATATAGTTTTCCTGCAGTATACTGCATGGTTTTCTGGCAACTGTGTACTCAGTTTGTAATAAGGTGTTACTGTTGTTTGTACACTTCAGTGACAAGCTTCTGTTCTTTCTCTAGTTGTCTTCTAATCATGATGATTGTTATAGCCATGATTTCAATCTAATTTTGTCTACACATTTTTATTTCAATTAATATTAAATTATTGTTATTTATCTATTTTGATAATATCCCCTTGTTTGTTGTTTCTCGTGAAGTTTCAAGAATTTCACGTATTTTAAAATAGTTTTGTCCCCCTATCAATAATACTTCACTTTCTAGTACGTTTCCTTAGGATGTTTTCCTCTTGAAATGTATCATACTTCTAAATATTGCTTTAAGTAGAATTTTTTTTACATCTGAGTGTGGGTTTCTCCTTATTGCATTTGCTGTTTGCTGCATCACTGTGGCAATTTTTGCAGAATTTGTTTAACATGTCACCTTTAGAATTCAAGAATTTCTCATTATGTGCTGTATGAAGTATTCCAATTTTAATGACTATCATTCATCATATACAATAGTTGTGGGAGAATTTGTACTTTACCATACTGTGATTATCCATACTTGACTGCCTATATCTTGTCATTTATGCTTGTACCATCATATTCTGTTAAGGTGAAATAGAAATCTATATATTCATATCTTATTTTATTTATATTATGCATTGTGTAATTTTCTTGGTATTTTTACTTGTTAATAAATTTGTAGGGAGAATTCCTTTGAATCTCTCACCTAAACAGCACCATCTTGTAGTGGGAACTATTTACCTCCTCATCATGCAGCCGGGCTAAGGCTCTGTTCTACACCAAATCACATCAAGGTTTTCTGTCCCTATGACATAAATGTAAATGTTCAGTCCACAAGAGTACTCAATAGCAATTGGGTGAGAGAAGAGTATGCATATACTTAACCAAACACTCTTGTTTTAATCCTTTTTATTCACATACAGCCACACAAACTCTACCTTACTACATATGTCATGGCAACTTCAATTGTCTATCCTTTCATGACTACCAACTGGTCTTTAAGTCAACCCTAAAAAGTATATTTGTTAAAAAATGAAGGCCATGATTTGGACTGTTGGAATTGTCTCAATTCAGATACAGTTTCTTTTGTACGTCCCAAGAAAATTCACAGAATATTTTTACCTGAGGAAAGGATAGACCGATCTGAGCATGCTAAGTCAGGGTGGAGTATCTCCAGGTCAAATCGTGGGCTGACCCTCTTCTCTGTGAAACTGAGTGTCATATCTCCATAATGTGTGGTGCACATGTCTATAAGGTGCAACTCCTTGCAATGGCTAATAATCTAGAGAATATACACTCTCTGGAAGAAATGCATATGTGACAATATTGCAAAGGAGCTCTGGCTATACTGTGCGTGTTGAAACAAACCACAGAGGCAGAGTTATCTCTGCACTGGAAATGATTACTGGTATGTATGTCTGAGAAGCAGTGAATGTGTGCAATTATACTCTAAAGGTGAACTCACAACTATGGCCATTTGTACTTGAGGAAAATGATCTAAACCAGAAAAGTTATGACAAATTTTGAAAGGAAGGTTGTATATCACATTGTCTGAAATCCTTTTCATCCACACCTTTTATACATATGTAAAATATTTATAACCAGATTCATGGAAAATGGTCTACCAAATGCAGCAAACCTTGCAGGTTTCCTGTGGTTGTCTTAGGAGAAAATTTGTATGATGATCTGGTCCAATGTTTAAGTGTTAGCCATCATCTACATGGATAAAGAAATTGAAATTTAACCATGGCCTCCAGGTACATGTGGGTAGTACATATTTTCTCCTAAACACCCATTGCACTTAAACGTGCTTAAATGTATCCCTACATTGATTTCAATATGAGAAACACCTTTCATTGTGAAACCAGACATCATGAGTAACTGGGACAGTGTTCCAATGATTAGAAATAATAAATACACAGCTAAAGGATCATTTACATTAATGCTTACAAGGTAATTGTCAAAAGAACAAAGTTATGATGGATGGTATGTGTGAGAGCTATCAAAGTCAAGATGGAGTCACGTGACTACCATAACAAAGGTAAAGCCAGGAGGTTGTATAAAACGGTCTTATATACAAGTGCCTGACGATGGCATGGAAAAACACTGTCAAATTATATTTTTATATGTCTACCTTAACCTGTGTTAGCAAGCTTGATGTTGAAAAGTCTAAATCTTAGTAGGTTCTCAGGTGATAACTAATTCTATACAACTTATAGTCAAATTTTCTCCACAAGAGCACACTGCATTGCGATTTAATTAACTGAGCAAACACTGTGGGATGAACATGCTGTTGCAGCATACATTTTTACAGGACAAGCAGGCTTCCTGAGTTTGTGAATGGTAAATGATGTGGTTGGAAGAAACAGCAGACAGCTAAACTGCCAGACTCAATTATGGCAAACACTATAGACCATCCAGGGTGCAAAGAAATCATAGACAGTATCAAGGAATTATAAAATGTAGATGTAATCTATCCATATCATGGTCCTTTAAAGTCTGTTATAGGCATAAAAACAGGTACCTCATGGGAATAACTGAATCATAGGGAGCCACATAAGATATTTTCTTCACTCCATGTCACTGAACCAAACCTTGTTTTCTGACTCAAAACCTGAATGATATCTATGGATTTGTACATCTTTATGTATTTGGACCATTCTAGTGTTTTCTTTGCTCCTTCTTTAATTGGTGCATTCCAGCACCAGTTCCAATTCATTTGGAGTCACTAGTTATCAAAATTTTGAGTTCCCTCAGTGTTAACTACACAATTTCTCCATTGAAATGTGGGTCTGGAACTCGATTTGTGTGAAACCTGCTGCTCTATGGGACTATCAAACCATGAGGGACATTGATTTCTAAGTTTATCTCCCAGGGACCCTGATACTGGGTGGTATAGTTTGGCCCTGTGACACAATGGAAAATTACTTTGACAGTTCAGCTTGGTGATTCTCAACATTGCAACATTAAAGAGACCTTTTCCAGGCCCTCTCTTAGCATTGCAGATTTAGAAAATTGTGCTAGGTAATACTTGGCATATCAGTCAAAAGATCTGGTAAATTTTTCAGATTTTGTTGCTTTCTTTAGTATGCATTTAGTATGATGGGAGAATGAGTAAGCAAATCACAGAATGATGGAGATGGGCTGACCTCTATGTCTGCTTGTATGTACGGTATAGTTAAAAAATACTTGTGCCTATGTCACGCTATTTGCTGCAGCTGAAAATGCCTAGCCCTTACAAGAGCCACCACTCCAACAGAGAGATTTCACTGACACATTTTTTCCAATTAGAGAATATCAATAGGGGCTTCTACGTAAAAATGTATTAAAAACTCAATTTTAACACTTTTTGCAACCAGGAAGATCAACAGAGAACTGCTTCCCAACTGAGGTCTAAAGTGGCATCAAGACCTCTCCAATCTCTTTGGACACAAATCTCATTCATGAGAAATCCTTCTTTATTTTCTCATTAGAGGAGTTAGGTAAATTTTTTGCCCTTGTGGTATATATGGTTTCCCAAAAAGATATTATATTACTAGTCTGGCCTTTCAAAATGTACCATAAATATTCATGTTTATGCATGACATGATGCAGGTCTTGGTCATACAAGTGGGGATGTTTCACCTCCCGAAAAAGTGGAGCTAAAAGACCTAAGAGTCATTTTCTTTTATTTGTATATTGTTTGTATTTAATTTTCAATTAATTTTATTAAGAGAGAAATAGCAATAAGACAGTTTCAAAATAGGCTAGTAAGACAGTTTCAATAAGTAATACATTGCATATTGTTGTCTTTGTAGTAGTTATTCATAGTACAAGATGCAGACATGTTATCATGTCCAAACACTATTAGTAAAAATCTTTCTTCTCATTGAATTAAGAGAAAGTAGCTGTATATCTATCCTATTTTCTATATACAGATGCAAAATGGTCCTTCAAGGAGAGGGCAAGGAGAAAAGCTGGGAAACATGACTGGTACAAAGCCATACATTTATACGCACAAGATGGGTAAGGCCATGATCTTGAGAAACATCAGCAGGTTTTTGAAACTGGAGTTAATTAGTAGGATTCTCATCGTGACTAAATATACATGCTGATACCTGTGAATCAAGCATTTGCACTGAAGATAGCAACGTGTAATAGAAGTGTCACGCTTGCAATGCCTGTCTTTCTGGTCTTCTATATACATACTTCTTTTTTTCCCATAATTTTATTGACAAACAAATAGCAATGAGACAGTTGCAAATCAAATCGGTAGGACAGTTTCAATAATTAACACACTGCATACATTCTTCCTAGTGGTTAATTGCTGTGCAAGAATCATTCTATTCATTAAGAGAATGTAACTATATATCTATCAAAACCACTTTGAATGAACAGATACAATGGTCTGTACACCCTTTTTTGTTAAGTTCAGTTTTTTGAATATTATAGGTGTGTAAACTCAGCAAAATATTCTGAAAGAGTCCAGTAGCCCATAATAGTATTGGGTCTTCTGCTTGATTGGCTATGTCAGAAATTATTGACCTGAGTCCCCAACAGCTCAACATAACAGCATGGCTTTACTTCCTATATTTCACTTTTATATTTTTCTGCTGGATGGCCAAGACCAAGGTAAAGCAGGACTTATGCAACAAGAGTTGTAGCTTTTGGGTCTGATAAGGTCAGTGAAATTCCCTCAGGATTTATCCCGAGATAATGCACCTCAGATTGTAGAACCTTTGTCAGTGTCAGCCATGTGGATGAGTCATGGCCATTGCTTGGCCAATTTGCTCTCTCTGAAAGCCTGAGAGAATGTTTTCTCTCCATGTGACTCTCCTTAGGCACACTCTACATCATCAATCAGTTTCCTCCTTGGCCCCATAATCTCCTTGATCACAAAATTTGGGACACTGCCTAGTTACATGACGTTACAGTACAAGTTCTCATATGTCCT